GCGTGGGTGGGTGGGTGGGTGGGTGTGTGTCTGTGTGTGTGGGTGGGTGGGAGGGTGGGTGGGAGGGTGGGTGGGAGGGTGGGTGGGTGGGTGGGTGGCTGGGTGGGTGTGGGTGTGGGTGGGTGTGGGTGTGTGGGTGTGGGTGGGTGCGTGGGTGCGTGGGTGTGGGTGTGGGTGATCGAGTCGCCCATTCAGCGAAAATGTTTTTGTCATGACCGGCCTGTACACATTCAGCACTTCCGCTCGTTCTTTCGGGATGTAGGGGTCTGTTTACTGTCATGGGAGTTTATAATGCGTTTTTTTGCTATTCAAGCCGGTACCATGTTTCGGAGGAGTCGATAATGCCTGTTTTGTGGCCGGCTGAGTTTGCTGTTTTGTTTGCTTCCTTTCTGCTAATAGTCAATCTTCAAGCACCCACGACCTAAAGCCCCCTCCAAACCCTACCTGAAGCCCGCAGCTCTCCCTAAACCCGAAACGCCCCTTCAGCCCTAAACCCTATACCCCCCTAAATCCTAAATCCTTCAAAAAAAAAACAAATCCCAAAAACCCTGGCCCTGAAGCCCGAAGCTCTTCCTTAACCCTGAAACCTCGCTTAAGCCGAAACCCTACACCTGCTTAAACCCGAAAACCTCCCCCCCCAAACCCTAAAAACCCTGGCTTCAAACCTAATCAAAGCCACACAGACCCCAAGCCAGCCCCGAACCTCTCGGACCCCTCAATTCCCTTCTAAGTCAACCCAAGCCCCCAATCTACCGAACCAAGGTCAACGGCGTCACGGGTAACACACTACAGAAGCCATCGGAAAATGATAAAACAGACTGCCACATTACTGCTTGAAGATTCGCTTGACACCTAATTACCCCCACCCTGTACAGTATTGGTTGCAACTGTATCGTATATCATCGCATGGGAGCCGTGCCGATGTGGGAACGCACCGCAGGCCGCGTAGTAGGAGCTTCCGCGCAGCTTCAACATGCCCTGTCACAGACAGAGATGGCAACACGTGGAAACGCAACAGAATCTGGCAGACCGGGCAAGGCCGGCAAGGCATGCTTGATGATCTGTGGCTCTGCATCACGGCCAGAAAACATTCCGTGATTGCACTCTCGCCTTGCTGGAGTTCTCGATCTGCAGCAAGCAGCCAGAGATGAACCTCTTTCGGGTGATACCTGAGGTTGCTTCAGCCATCAGCTGCCCCTCTCAAGGCTTGGGACGACCAGGGTCTGTGCTTTACTGCCCTCATCAGCACCCGTGTCAACATCGCCGTACTGCCTGGACACAAAATAACGGAAGATGATAGAAGCAAGGCCGTGATGCTGTGACACGTCTCTGACAGCTTGGAGCATGGACCACTTCTCAAACAGAAGTCCACGTGTTGATACCTGGGCTTACAGCTGTAGTCTGCAGTATACCACCAGGTAAATATGTCAAGGTTAAAGCCGGGAGCGGTACCAGAGCTGTAAGTCTCCCTTGAATCTGTGCCTTGAAGATCCACTCGTTTGGACAAACTTGGCGAAACCGCTTCAGAGCACACATCGCAGTCCGCCCCTCAGGCTTTCACGATCCCCGGTGGAGGATATTGTGGATCCGCCTTAGCCCTGCCTCAATTGCTCAAGACCCACAACTGAAACCGTAGCGGCATGTATTCTGCGCTGCCCGTCTGGAAAGTGTAAGGCACTGAGAATCAAGCGACTGTACTGATCGAGTATTTTCTCCAGCGGAGGGCACTGGTTCGGCGGCGCCTTTCACAAGGCTCTGACTCTGCCGTTCAAAACCACTACAAAACAAATGCAAACAGATTCCAGGCCTCAAGGCCTCTAGGGCAATCTCGTACCGCACCTACAAGCACAATCAGACCACTAAACCGACAGGCCAACAGGTGCGACGGCACAGCTGCCCACACGCGATCTGTGGATCCTTTCCTCTGGCAGCTCTAGACTCATGAAACGGGAGGTGGCTTGTCCTGAAAGCATGTGAGACCATTTACAGGCATAGTGCCCTTCTGGAGGTAGGCCTTGATGTGAGCTTGACACTCCTTGACCGCATCCTTGTTGTAATCGCTTGCGTGGGATGGAAAGGCGTGGCCGATCCCCTGCCACGTAATCAGCGACCCCCCGGGAAATGCACTCTTCATGTTTTGCGCCCAGCTGTAGCTGGTAGCCGGATCAAACAAGTTTCCCACCACCAGCGGGTACACGATAGAACTACCCATCGGTGCGTTCGGCGTCGCCTTCACTGGCCAAAGGAAATAGCCCACCATGTCTCCAACCACTGCAGCCAAACCGGCATCACCTCTATTGGAGGCAGCAGATTTCCACTGACGGAGGAGGTCCGGGACGTCAAAGTACCCTGCCTGATCCACGCCCCAAACCGCGCACTGCTGCATGTACGGCTCTCCAAAATCCTGACCAGTACCCTCCTCGTCCTCCGATGTTTGTCCAGGACCAACACAAATGTCATAGTTGTACCAGGTGCTAACGCCTTTCACAAAGCAGAACCCATCCAGGATGAAGGCGACTGTTGTGTGAATCGTCTCGCTACTGGCTTTTGGAGAGAGCCCTGCCAAAGTCTCCAGGATTCTGTGAAACAGCCTCCCGGAGTTTGATGCCGACTCGGTCTGAATGTAAGCCATCAGCATGCCAACTGTCAATGGGAACTGCATCCCGGACTTTGTAGGCGCTGTCAAGTTGCCTAGACGAGCTGCGGCTACTATCTGGTCATACTCTTCTTCAGGGTGTTCCAGCGGACAGTCTGGTGCAGCTTTGCCTGAGCTACTGCCATGGACACAATGGGACAATCCCTTTGAATGAAGATTTGGAAATGCCTGAAGCAATTAAGCAATGCGAACACTTCCGAAGCTGCCTAGAAAGCAAAAACAGTTCTGAAGCTGTTTTGCGGCAGGTATTCAGCAAGAAGGCGATGAATTTGTCGTTGGCTAACGCATCGCCAGTGGCTTGTGCGGTCTTCCGGGGCGTAGGATCCATATTGCCATCCAGAACCACACGGCCCGTGAACTCACTGAAGGCCGAAGCATACACACCGGCCACATATGTTCCGTAGCTGTACCCATAGAAGCTCATCTTCTGTGCCCCAATTGCGCGACGAAACCGATCAATATCGTAGGAAAGAAACTGGGATCCCACGTATTCCAAAAAGTTGTAGGTCTTGCCGTTGGCCCCTGTCAACTGGAACTTTGGAGAGGCTGCGCACCTGCTGCCCCAGGCATCTCTCTTCCGTAAGAGATGCGCAACCTGCGTCTCGTTCTGCGGGTCGATGTTGGCCCAAATCTCAGTGAGTCAGTGGCAGTCTCCACTTAACTCTGCATTTTTGCAAAGACGCAGCTGCGACCTAGAAGCATGCAACCCTGCACATCACGTCTCGACCTCCGAAACCTCAAGCCCGAATCCTACCACAAACACCCGGAACCTCGCCGATCTGGGGCGTCCCATCCAGCAGAGCACATGGGCAGTCGGTGAAGTCGCTGATTTGGCAGCCTCGGCATCACTCAGATCAACATGTTTCGGAGTTGAAGCAGTGACAGGTAGTCACTTCGCGTCTCCGATCTCAAGGCAGCTTGGAGTTAAGCCGAGTTTTAGCTGAGTTCCTGGCCTGTGGCCGGGCAGCCGGAAACCGGAAGGTGGGAGTTGTTGCAGTTCAGTGCCGGATCGGCTCTCGGCCCGATTCCACGCTGCGAGATGGACCAAACGTCGTAGCCTTCGAGGTGGGAACCCCAAGCCTCGGTAAAAACAATGAAAAGATTTCACTTCCTTTCCACTCCACTACCCCGCAAACTTGGAAAAGAGCTCAAAGTTTGTTTAAGTTCCTCCTCTAAGGGGCGTATCGGAGGCAGCTGCTGTCGGCACCCGGGCCCCCGCAGTGAAGCAGCAGGGCTCCCAAAGGTGCGGGCTGCTGTTTGGAAAAGTACATGGCGATCTCCAGCTCCAGCTGAGGGCTCTTCGCATCTGCAGGGTCCAAGAAGACGCTCAAAAGGCCAGTGACGAGACGCCCACCGGATGGGACCTGGTTCCACCGCACGACGGAGGGCTCCGGGTGCATGGGGCCATAGGAGCGCAGTCGCCGTTCGGCGACATGCTGAAGCATCTGCAGCGTGCAGGACTGCACTGACTCGTGTCCGCACTCATCATCCACTGCACCTGCATTCCCAGCGCCGGCCTGCAGCCTCAAAAGTAGAATCCACAGACCAGCCCGCCCCAGCATTCCAAGCATGGCAAAAGCCGGTAGATAGAGCGGACTTCTCTACACGTTCATGCCACTGCACTGTTGGCAGAAGCTTTACAACCTGCCACGAGCAGGGCTTGGGACAAATAGCGATAAGACGGACAGGGAATGACAGGGACATGAACTCGAAGTCTTAGCCCGACATACTCAGCAACTCTATGCAACGCTTCTATGCCGAATAAGTAGATCCAACTGCCATGTAATGACGACCCGGTAGGCTTAGTCAATCTCTTTCGGATATGAGTTTCAGGCAGCTGACCAGAAGGAAGCAGTCACGTTTCAAGAGCTTTGCAGGTTTCCGAGATCCCGGCATAGTTTAAGTAGTCCTCTCAGCACGTCTCTTGCGGTCATGTAAAGCAGGCAAACCCACCTACCGGCAACATCAAGCAAGAGGTCGAGCAAAGGCAACTGGCTCCTGTGGCTTGCCAGGGTTCCGCCTCGGGTGTGCAAGGGCGCCGTCGGCTTCGAACGGCCTATCGACACATCCGCCAAATGCAACTGAGCGTCTGCAGAGCGTACTCGAACTCTCGACGACGGCGAACGATGTGCCTGAAGACCACAGTGTACCCGAAGCGTCAGCCGGCATATTCTGGCAACTCTGCACAGCACAGCTGCCTCAGCTCATCCTCAGAGAAAACCTTCCGCCGCCGGAGGTCGTCCAGCTCTGGGACCATGTCCTGACCGCAGCACTCGGGAGCTCTGGTAAAAGCCATGTCACTCATGGACGGCGGAAGTCCTGCAGTGCCTGCTCCACATAGTCCGCCATTGCTTCGCTACCGCTGGGCGGCTGATGGCGGCTGGGCTTCGGCGGCTTCGGCTTCGGCCTCGGGTCCCCTGAAGGACGAAAGTCGGCTGGGCTCTTCGGGTGCTGCCTTGATCGCAGCGACAGAGGACAAAGTGCAGCACGTTGCCACGATCGTCTTGAGACTTCAAATGTGGCGGCATTGCAAAGTCCAAACATAGAGGCTCCCTACTGTAAGCTCGGTCATTCGGCTGCTTTCTAGCACCAACTACCACTAAATTAGCTACGGCCTCAGCTGGAGCAGGAAGGCTCATTGCGCGGCCTTCGTTTCTGGGTCCTCCGCTTTGTTGGAGTCCTCGTCCTGCCAGAGCGCAAGTTTGAAGCACCTCCGTGTTGTGCAGTTTGCAAAGCATGCAGAAGTGTGTTGAAAAGTTTGAGTCCTTGCGGGACTTGGGACTTGCATTGGCGGCTTCTTGCAACGCTGCCTTCTTTGCCTTCTTTGCTGCCTGCAAGTGTACAACGCTACGTCTACCGGGAAACTTCTTGCCAAACAACTTTGAGATGCATTGAGAAAGATGCGGCACAACTAGCAAAGGAGCTGCCTGACAAAAAAGCCGTGATGTGGTCAGAGCTATTCGCAACAGTATGAGCCGTGTCGACACTGCCCAACCATCAACAGGCCATCGTCACATGACAGAGATCTCGGAAATGTCCAGCAACTCATTTCTGTAGGCGGCTCATCGAAGCTCAATCGTTGGACCATGGGCCAGTCTTGTGGGCACGGCAGCTTTTCGAACCACCGAACGAGAACGCTGACTACTGTGCTGCCCTGTCCAACGACATGTCGTCTTCCCATCGCCGCATTCCTGAGGACCCGGGAGAACACACTTACCTGCGAAAAATGAGCCAGACAAGCCAAGGCGAGCTGCAACAGAGTGCAGCAAGTAGCCGGTGCGGACAAAACAAACTTCCTGCCCTTCCTTGTCTTGCCCTAGCATCTGGAGACCTCGAAACAGGCCAGCAGTTTGGGTAAATGTGCACGGAACCCGCCTTCTCCTCGGCCTTGCGCTTTGCCTCGGCCTCCGCCGCGGCCTTGCGCTTTGCCTCGGCCTCTGCCGCCTTGCGCTTGGCACGCTCCTCCTGCGACTTGAGCAGCACAACAACCTTTGAACCTTTTCTCTTGACTCTTGTCTGCAGTGCAGAAAGACCCTCAAACCTCAAGCTGCACCCTGTGTAACGACTACAACTTCGACTCCGACTGCGACCAGGACCACGACTACGGTTAGCTGCCGCTGTCTGGAGTCTGAACTGAAATGAGGAGTTTCTTGGCGTCATACCCCAGACGCCCCTTTGCACCGCTACCGCTGCCACTACCACTGCTGCCACCAATTCCTGCTTCAATTTTGCAGCCTCAAGTCGTACTCTCTCCTGCTCCTTCTTGAGGCTGCTAAGCAAGTTCACCGGGAACTTCCAGCGCCCTGCTCCTTGGATGCTAGACATCATCGGTTCTGCAAGGCACTTCGAGTCCGCCTGAAATCTGAAGCCGACATTGTTCCCCTGGCCCACCTTGACTACCGTCTGCTGGTGACACGTTGCCGACTATGGACGATCCAACACGTCAGTACAAGAGCTGAAGCTTGTTACTTGCAAATTCCTCCACTCTGCACGACCAGCATGTCGTGCTGGGCCCCGTTCCGAAGAGGTCTATGTAGTGAGCGCCCGTTGAGATGCCGGACACCAGTCCAACCTCCTGTGAGTTTGCAGGTCATTGCACCGACATGCCACATATATGCAGGGATCTGCAGGTGCGTGTAATGCGATTTCTCGAGAAATGTCGCGCAACGGCGGCAAGGGATGCTTCCAGCCTCTTACACTGCATACCGAGACCGTCTAGTTTGAAATTGGCGGTCTTGTCCCAAGCACTGCATAACCCCGGGTATAGCTCAAGGGCCTGGCAGCAGAATGCAAAACATGATCAAAACGTTTCAAAACCAAGGCTTCAAAGCTCAAAGAAACAGACATTGATTCAAACTCAACCTGTTTTCTTCTCTTGAACGTAGGAAACGCTGTCCAGGCTTTACATTCTTGTACTTTTCAACCACACAGCGGATGGTATGATACTCCGACTTGGTAGTATCATTCTGCAAGTGGTGTCTGCGACGTACTCAACTGATGCGATCCATACATGGGCTATATTACGGTAGTCCTTCTCAGCGCCTGCGATGCTACAAGTCTCGATCAATCGAATGATAAAGTCTGGCTTTGAAGCGCTTAGCTCGATTTGTAGTCGTCTATTTTGAACCCGCGCGGGCACGTCGGAGTGCAAATGGTCGGCTAAGCTTCTACAATCCGTGAGGCTGACGTGGGGTATCTTGCTTCTCGCAAATGCCTCCCAGTCGGTCCCGCGGGATCCGAATCGGTCGGCTAGTACAGCTCGATTCTCTCTCCAGCTTCCTGTTGTGCTCGACAACGATACAACCATTACATCGTATGTGCCACAGAACGGATCACATAACTGTGCTGCAGGAGCTGAGATTTGAATCTCCCCTTGCCGGGACACATTAATAGATTCCCCGGCGAAACTCGCATCGGATGCGGTCAGCACACCTACCTTCTCAAAGTCGAAAGGTCCACTCCGGCACCTTAGTTTAAGGTCCTTACTATGGTAGCACCCTTTATCGAGCTCTGAAGCTTCGATACACGGTACAGTATTTCTGCCCTGACCTGCCTAGATATCCACGAAAGACTGCCTACCACGGAAGGCAGCTGTCGTTCCTCTCCGCGGTCTACTAGATCCGAGTGCTTTCGGTTCGCCTTAACGTCTATGTAGGTTATCTTTTTGGTATTGTCGGTGACGTCATTCCGCTTTTGTCGAACTGCCTGCTGCAAAACCGAAGTCGGCCTTGCTCTCGGCGTCCTACTTCGAACTTCGTAAGTACAGCTTGTCGATAATTTTGCCACCTCAATTGATGGATGCCCATAAAAGTCATCCACGTGAGTGGTGAGAACGCGCACTGCTCTTGCAAGCTCTCCGCAAAAGTAGAGCGCTCGGAATATCCTGCTGACCTGAAAGCCTACTATCGCAGAGTCCATAAACTGGGACTCCAATCAACAGCATTGATTCCGGATCTTCATCAGGCAGTCCTCCAGATGGTTGTTTCGTCAGTACAACACGATCTATAGGTTCGGCTTGGAAGTATGCATTGCGAAAATCTGACGACTCCACGGGAACACCGTGGGATGCTGCAAACACTGCAACCAACGGATGCGTTTCTGAGTCTGAGGTCCGAGCGTCGGTCCGTACCTCCGTGGAATCCTCAAATTTCCACATGACACCAACCTAGATTTGAATTCAGGGTCATAACCTGGGTTTAGGCGTTCATGATAGTTTGACCTGCATCAAGCAGATCTTGCAACTCGCGACCGTTGATTGGTATCGCGGCGTGGACGTCCAGGCACTTCTTCCATTCCTTGGCGCAGCTTCCGTCGATCCTAAGTCGTGCGGAAGGTGAAGCTTCCCAGTACTTCAGAGCCTCAGGGAAGTCTCTGAGTTCCTGCTCAACCTGCTCTTTGGCAAGAGAACAGTTACTCCAAAAACCTTTGAGTTTCTCACGAATGCTCACATCTTCGAGCTCTATTGCTTGCCTGGCCTCGAAACGTCGTCTAACTGACGCCAGAAGGTCGTCAAGTAGCTCGCTACTGGCACTGGAAGTTCTTTCTGCTTCTGGCTCAGCTTATACGTCCCTAAGGTCTTCAAAGCCTTGCTGCCCTTGCACCAAAGAGTCCGGTAGCACCGGCTCGTTGTTCAACACTGCGTGCACAAGCGCCTCTGCGTCCTTCACTGGCCTCAGGTTCTTAGCGGACACTAGAACCGGTACGTTTGCGCAAAGAACCCAAACGTTCTCACTCTGGGTTCCTTCAAAGCCTGTCACTCTGGAGACTGATGACCACACAGTCCTCCCGGTCTTGTCTCCCTGAAACAAACTACGTCTCCTACCGAGTACGTACACGGTATTGGCTTGGCATTCCTCAACAACGCAGGCTGGACTCTTTTGGAAGCGTCCAACTGAGTGAGTGCCTTCTTTGCTTCGACTCCCGCCTGGTGAGTGAGAGCGAACTTGCTCTCGGGATCGGCTTGGTCCTCTAAGGATCCAAGATCTCCACCATTGCCCTCCTCCCTTAAGTACGGAGGTCTGCTCGGGGTCTTGCCAAGTACCCATTGTGATGGTGAATACCCGCCGTGCCTGGGCATGGTATTCTTTTTTGTTGCGCAGCACTCGTCCAGCAGTCCAGCACTGTCTGGAGTTGCTGTCTCCCAACCGCTTGAGGTTGGGCAACAACCTTGCGCAGGTTTGCGTTGCGCACCTCCGTGTCGCTCGGCCTATGGTTTCAGGTGCTGCCAACGGTGCGTGTGTGACCTGTACTCCGTCTGCTCCACAAAATTGAGCCAACACGCCTCTGTTGTGCAATCCTCGGTCACAACGTATGATCGCAGGAAGTCCTGCCCAACAGGTCCATCGCCTTTGGATGGCCTCTAGACACCTGGCTGATGAGGGCAAACCCTCGCCATCACGCACAATCTACACCAACTGAAAACATGTACCGAAACAAACCATGTTCATAACTTGAGGCTGGCGCCTCTGGCATCTCAACACTCAATTACATCAATTCCCAAAGCATGGTTGAATGAGTACCGTTCCGGTTGGGATACGGTATTTGCATTGCACCTAGGCTGGGCGTCTTTACACTTGTTGCACCTGTGAAACTTCGCGACCTCTATGTAGGTTTTATCTATCTTAATTAGCCGTGACGATAGCCTCCTCAGACGGGTCTATCAAAGCGAAATCTTGGGGATTTTCGATTCGATCAAAGACTCCATCTTCCTCTTCGATAGATGGGAAACCTGCTGTGGAAACAAGTGCCGTAAGTACCTGGTATTCCGCTACCTGCCTAAGCCAGATAAGAAAATCTTGGCTTAAGACATCATCGATGCTGCGTGGGGCCATGTACGGATAGCTATTGCTAGTCCATCCTTCACAGTCATCCAGCAAGTTCTGGGCATTGCTCGCAAAGCTAGTGTCTCCTACCACTATACCCATGTGGGATATATTGGTACACTCGTTTCATGCCATCTAGAGGTGAAAAGCGCAATCCAAGAATAGGTACGGTGTACCGGACAGCTCACAAAAACTTACCACCGCATTAGCACGGTTAAGTCCTTCCTCGGGTTCCTTTACCTAATGGCTACAACCACTAAGCTCGGACCCGTACTCTGCAGCTCCTTCCTGGCCCCATTCGGGGCCCAGGCGCCTGCTAGGACGTATTCCTTCCTAGGTTGCTCACGTCGAGAAGTTTCCTAAGGGCCTCTTCGTGGCCCCTTAGCTGGCTAATACCCTTGGTTACTAACTTCCTCCTAGCCTTGCCAAAACCGCCAAAGAACCAACAGATCTGAAATCAGTACCTGCCTCCGAAGGCAAAGTCAAGCCCAACTGCTCCTCAATCGCAAAATCCGATCACCTCTTCCTAGCCCTGCGGTCTGGGACTGGAGGCCTAGGAGGTGTTCGATTGAAGTTCGGGGGATCCTTGCTTCTGGGCCTGGGTTTGAAACTTTTCTGGCCCTTGGGTCCCACAGGTATCCAGTCTTCAACAAGGCTTGGATGAAGGCTCGAAGAAGCTACGTGACTAAGGCGTTCACGCTGTGTTGCACGGCTTCACGTTCTCTCTGTGTTGGCCTCGGGGACTTCTTCGTAGTTGCTCCGGGGCCTGGCTTGAGGACACAAGCCGGGCACCCTTCCCTTGAGACTAACAACCTCTTAGACCAGAAGAAAGCACCGCTCTCCGTGTACGCCGCACCCGGCTGCAAGCGTCCGCGTCCTTGGCCTTCAAGCTGGCGGTCTCCTTTATAGGTAAACACGCGCGCCATGTTGCTGCCTGCTCGGTCAGCATGAGGCCAGGCGATAGCGATGCACTGATTCTCGAAAGCCGTTTCCGATCCTTCGTCAGCCATCGGCTCGAGGACTCGAGGGCTTGCATGGAAGCATCTCGTAAGAGTACGCTTATCTGTCCGCGCTTGTAAAGAGTAGCTCGTCGAGGCTCCTGTCCCACTTCAGGGTGGTCGCAAGCGACCAACGCGTGAACGGGACCGACACCGCGCGTTGTGGAACAGGAGGCCCTGCTTGTGCCCGTCCTGCGCTACTGGTCGACGGCAACCTCCCTGTCATTCCCTGTCGCTTCCAGCTCCCTGCAGACCAGCCTCGCCAGGTCGACGATCCAGATCGAGGATGCAGTTCCGCTCTCTAAGTTCAGCTTTTTCCTGAAGTAGCCGCTCGTTCTCCTTCTCAACTCGCTCCAGGAGAGCTTCTGCACAGATAGCTCTATCCGTCCAGTCGGCTAGCGTACTGGAGGCCGCTGCACTGCCAGTGGGCTTGGCGGTGGCGGAGGAACCGCATTGAAGCCACCGCCTTGTCCTCCAAGGGCCGCCGGGCTCCCTTAATTGACGACGTCCAGTTGTCGTGACGGACGGGACCGTCGACGGCCCGGATGGCTTGACAGGCCAGTGACCCGAGGGTCCAGTCAATGCCTCGGGGGTCTAGTCCTTTCGCATCGAACTGAAGCCTGTCAGATGACTACAGGTGGGGCCACGCAGTCGCCGGAAGATCTGCACGCGAGCTGCAGGTACCCGTTCACCGGCCCGTAACCACCAAGGTGCGGTGTCTTCTCCATATCACCATGGGTTAGGGCATCGGGGTACCGAGCACTGGCTCCTCCTCAGGTCCCTTGCGCGTACCTGGTCTTGGAACTCCTTAACCTCGAGGCAGAGCACTGCAGTGCAAGTCGGGCTGGCAGCCTCGACCTCACTCTCGGTATCGTCCAGATCGACACTCTTGTCGCCTTTCTTTGCCGATGCCGATCGCGTCTTAGCGCGGATCGCATCCTCATAGAGCTTCAGCCTCATCGAGGTCCGAAATTCCCAGTCACGGAATGTACTGGGATTTCCGTCGAAGATGTACGACTCACTACGGGTCTCCAGATAAGTACCCGAACCAGCACCACGGGAGTAACGTAGGCCAGCTACGCTCATTGCCAGGGTGGATCAATGAATGCAAGAGCACAGGGGGCAATGCGATGGGTCGATATCGGGCTCACCCAGCGATCGTGTGGTACTAAGACCCGCTCGGCTGGTCCCACCGAGGGGTATGCTACCGATTTGAAATTTGCAGTCTTTTCCCAAGCACTGCGTAACTACCAGTTTAGATCAAGGGCCCTAAACGGCAGCAGAATGTACAAGACATGTTCAAGACTGAGGCTTAAAGCTCAGAGAAACAGACAGTGATTCACATCTTGCATGCAGCCATACTGCTTGAGGGTACATTAACAATGATGCCGGAATGTCATTATTCGGAAGTTTTCCTTCAAATCTGGTGCCCAGATATCATAGTGCGCAACTGTAGTATGGATGCACTGAGGAGGCAATCTAGCGTGGTGACAGTCTGCTGCGCGGCGAGGAGGCACAAGGATTGTGACACATTCATGTGACCGATCACCGTATGAATCGGCCAAGCAAACGCTTGTCTTCGGTCGGCTTTCCTCGCTGAGCGTGCAGCAGGGCTCCTTGGATGAAGCTTCGTTCTTGGGTGACTGGCTAACGTGGATGATTTTCAATATGGAATGGTGTTGTGCAAAAGGGCCTTCTGGCAATCCAGCCCGCAATCGATAAGGATCCTTCGAGTGCTAGTGCAAACTCTTTAGGCAGATCGTTTGCTGGTATTGGGTTTTATTATCCCAAGCCTTTCCCATCATTGTGGTTGCCTCCACATGGAGTGGCTTGTAAGATCAGATGCCGTGGGCAGGTTCAATCAGAGTGCGCAAGCTACAGTAATCTACCCTGAGTTGCCTTTCACTGTCAGAATCCCAAAATGCGATTGACGCACCAGGCAGGTAAACCCCTCAAAACAAAAATCACTGGATGACAGCTGCGAGTCTGTCTTGATGCTGGCGAACGGGTCAGGCTTGGGCCTGAGACGGCACGACTTGCGGATGCTGCAACTGTGGATCCAATATCCAGTGATGTAATGATCTTGCTTCAGTGTGTGTCGTTCCATGGGGCAGAATGTGAGATCTTCTGTGCTTGTGCTGCGTAGGTTGACGGATGTTGGAATCAGAGGTCACTTAAAGATCGAATCCCAAAGAGAGCTTTGGCAAGCCCAAGCTTTAATGTCAAGGATTGTCAAGGCGAGCAAGGCGGTGTCAGTGCCACTTGTTGCAAAGTCTCGGTTTCGGGTCTGTGCCTCGGCCGCAGGGAGGATTCGGCTTCGTCGGCCTCCTCGTCTTCCTGTTTCTTCGCATCCTCGAAGGAGATGAGGACCTGGTCCAACGTGGTGCAGGCAATGCAGGCATGTCAGGCCTGTCAGTGAGGCTAACACCCGGTTGTCCTTTGCCATGACCAACTGGAAGCCGTCACCAGTGATCCTGAGGGGTCATGAGGGGCTGCTTGCAGACCCTGCTTCTTCACCGAGCCGCTCTGGACTCAAATCTGAGCTTCCCACATCTGCACAGTGAGGTGCAAATCCTTTGCACAGCTTAAGGAAGTCTTAAGTGACCGGAAGATCTGCGCAGCAGTCGATAAAAGCCAACGAAGTACAGTGACCACCAGTCACGAAGCACGCGGTGTGCCCTTTTGGAGGGCGTTGAATCATGTAAGTTCAGTCGGGCTGTCCACCGGACGAAGGGGCACCTAATTTGAGATCGCAACGAAACTTCTGTTGCACCATGATCGTCAAGACATGCGAAAGTAGCAGCGTCGAATTTGCATTCAAAGCATAACGAAACTGTAGGACCGGTGTTGCTGTTCGGTAAAGTTGTGCAGAGGCAGCAATTCTCCTCCGGGATGTGCCGACCTGATCCTTCCTGTGCCACGTACACAGCAGAAAAAAACTTTAGATTCTAGTGACGTCTGGCTTGCCTGCATCTTGGATTACTGCATGCTTGACACCCGTAAAGCTCTGAAAGCCCTCCGCCATCTACCATGCACACTTGCCTGCCGGAGAGGTTCGAATCTTCATCAGCACACAGTACAGCTAGCTGGCTCCATTAATCCCTGCGAATTAGCCCGGAATTTACCAAGAGACATATCCCTGGACAGCACGAGCCAAGCAGCGTTGGTAAAGCGCGGATTCATCCTAGGCTTGCGGGCAGACAGGCAAAGGTCTAAACATGACGGGTCAGATGCAGGATCAATCAAATTCGATGTTAGAACAGAAGACGGGTTGCATTCACACAACTATGAAGCAAGGTGGTAGGCTCGTTGTGGAACCTAGATCTCTGTAGTCTTCGGGCCAGTCCGATGCAGAAACAGGACTCAGGCTGTGACCGAACGCCGCCCTTTCCGCGCGGAAGTTCGAGAACGCATGCCACAGTCCTGACGAAAAAACAACGGATGCGGTGTGGACAAGGCTTGACGTCAAATTTGAGACGTCTGTGTCTCCATCCGAAGGAGCAATACCCAGCCGCCCTCGCCTGGTTGGGTCCAAGCCAAGATCAACCTGGTTGTATGGGGTGCACATTGTACGACATGGTCGTGGGTAGCGGCACATCGCCTAATTACATGACACTGCAAAGCAAAACCAGACACGCAAACCGAGCTAGTCAGCACAGCAAACGGCTGAAAATAGAATCGTGGCACAGGGGCGGCATCACCAAACGTTCATGGACCAGAAAGGAATCATGGCTGTCACAGCATCTCCCGCAAATGCCGTTGAATGTCCCCCATTGGTGCTTAGGCCCCGACGATCTCCTGGAGGAGTATCTGCAGCGGGCTGTGCTTCGCAAGCTTCAACCGAATGAACACAAGCATCCCAAGACACAACAAAAACAACCCTTGAGACTGAAGGGACCAGAAATGCTACGAGTATGGCTTGCAAGAGTCTACGTTGCACCCTCCCGCTACCTCTTCGAGTTCGGAAGAGGGGGTAGATGCAAGAGACAGAGATGTATGTAGTCACATAACGGACCAGCAAATGCCCTGTAAAAACACGGGGAGAGCCTCCATCTTGTTCTTCTCCTGTGATGGACAGACGCATAGAAACGCAACAACAGGTGCTTAACATTTTGAACTTGCGAAAGCAAGCTGTCCCCTCCAACCTTCGTGGCTGTCTGCTTCTTCTTTTTAGTGTACCTGAGTGGCCACCCAACACCTCCGCAGCTCTCACACTTCCCATGAAGTGAACGAGGTTTCAAACGAGAAGGCGGAACACAACGATCTCAGACCCTGGAACCTGGAACGTCTCTGATGCTGCGACCTCTCTGCTTCCGCTGGGGCTGCCACACAGTCACCTGCTGGTCTGGAGCGCGAACCTGGCAAAGAGGAGTAGTCGAATCTTGAGTTCTGATAGTGAATGTGACACAACATGGCGACATCTCGCATCCCAACAAGACAGGCACCTTCGTGCCGCCTCGCATGAACTGTGGCGTAAAGGCCATGACCAGCAACGCCTGAGCACCGCCACACCATGAACAACCATTCGGTATTAAACTGGGGTGAGCAGCCTACGTGTTTGTATCCTTGGCAACCGAAACCATGCCCGCTTGTGCACAAAGGACACGTCCGTGTAAGCGTTTGCAATCACACTATGTCGGTTCAAGACTGGCTCAAGCCAAATACCACTTGAAGTGAATCCTGTAGCAACGGCAATTGCAAGCAGTTGGCCTTCAACTTCCACGCATCGCTGCAGAAGAGGTCCTAGGTGAGTGAACGAACGAGAACCCATTCTCACTTGTGTCTGTGAATCGTCTGGAGTGCGGCGCTACTGTGAGAATATCGGACGTAGGGACTGCGAGGCGCTAATCTCCCCTTCTCCCAGTTCTAGGAGCTTGACTTGTTTGTGCAATGGTCACTTGTTGGCAACGAGGTTACGTATCTTTGCGACATTCTGCGACCAGGCAGCTGTCACCTTTGGCAGTGCCTCCTCGGAACAATGGGACGAGAAAAGAATAGAATCACAACTGACGGTTTTCGTAGTCTGTAAAACAGGCGGTTCTGTGCCTGCAACGGTGCATGTGAGTGCGTGTGTGTGTGTGTGTGTTTGTGTGTTTGTGTGTCTGTCTGTGTGTGTGTCTGTGTGTGTGTGTCTTTGTGTGTGTGTGTGTGTCTTTGTGTGTGTGTGTCTGTGTGTGTGTGTGTGTCTTTGTGTGTGTGTGTGTCTGTGTGTGTGTGTGTGTGTGTGTGTCTCTGTGTGTCTCTGTGTGTGTCTGT